GTCCTGCTCTGCTCTGCTCTGCTCTCTGCACAGTCTATGTGCACATACTATGTACATCACAGTGATGTCCAACTTTACAAGGGAATATCTCAGTCTGCACATGCATTTGTTGCACACAAACTAGATTTATATCCTGTCTGGCTATTAGCGAAAATATGTGAATGAAGTGACTTGTGCCCGGAGTTCAGCTTTAAATGAACCTGTTTAGAATAAGGAAGGTGTCACAGCCGCGAGAAGATCACAGAAGCCTCCGAGGCCTCTGCCTTGATATTAAATCATCAAATAGCCGCGCAGCTGTGACTAACCTGCCTTTCATCCCAGCACTGTGAGAATGTGATTCAGGGGCTGCCTTGTAAACAGGAACAGGAGACACTTGCTGTTATTTGGACGTGCTGCAAAATAAACTCATAATTTTCTCAAACGTAAGGTCCTTTGAAGTATTGTTCTGCTCCAGTGCATACATCTAGGTAGTGCCCCTCGCAGGCGCAGTGCTCACGGAATCTCAGGCTCGTTACAAGAGATGAAACTTTCCAAGGAACACACACCTCTCTCTCTCTCTCTCTCTCTCTCTCTCCCTCTCTCCGGGTTTCATGAGTGTTTATAGCACAGCGGTATATACTTTGCTCGCCCTGTGTTTAGAAAGCTCCTTGTCAGTAATTTCCTCCATAATTGATTGCTGTTCAAGCAGCTTTTTCCTCTTATTGTAGCCAAAGGTCAAACAATAGCGACAATGGATTTGTGTGTGTATTGAGGATGGAGGTAAGAGGGTCACAGGATACATTGTTCACATAGTGGATAGAGGATGTAAGGTAAGAGCTATGGAACTTTATACAAAGGACAAGTTTATGCTCCAAGTGTCTTGTGCCCAGAGCAGCATCAGATTTTAGCGGTCTGGTGTGGTTTGCCATCTATGTACTTAATGTAGCGCCAAGGTCATTTAAGTTCCTTTCAACAGAAGGTGATGCTTGGTTTTATTTCATGATCATCAGTTTTATTACACTTTGCTCCTGTGTTGATTGTTTTTGTTTAGCATCACAACTACTACTTTCCTCAAACAAGTCATTGGGAGAGCAAAAGGCAGCTTAGGAAGTCAAATGGAGGTCAGAAGGAGCTAAGCTGCAGGTCAAGTGCACCTGTCTGTGAACTGATCTCACCAACTGTTTTCAGCTTTCAAAGACCCTTGCTGCAGCCTGTAGGAGGCAGTGTGTCTTTGTTTAATGCTGTAATTGTTTGCTACAATTATAGTGTTAAAAAATGATTACTTAATTTTATAAATACATACAGGACATACTGTGTGTGTGTGTGTGTGTTCGTTTCGGTATTGAGTACTGATATATTTTTTCCGGTACTCGCCAATACCAAGTACCGGAAGTCCCATTCAGTAAGCCAGGCGGCTTGTAAAGACTAGCCACCCGACTTCCCGATTAGCAGAGAAGCCGTCCCCATGCTTCTCGTCACTAGAGAAAGCATGGAGACGGCTTTCTGGCCAATTAGGAAGCCGGGCAGCGTGTAATTACACGCTGCCCGGCCTCCTGATACGGAAGTATCGGGCTAGGCATCGGAGCATTTGGGCGCCCAAATACTCACCACCGATACTAGTATTGGTATCGATATTGGTGCATCCCTAATATATGTATGCACATTTTTGTCCACTTGACGACCAGTGATAAAAAGCAGAGTTCTTATGAAAGCTGTGTTCCAAATTATATCCTTACATGTCCTAACAATTTACAATAATTAGGGGGCCAAATTAGTTATCGAGTTGTAATCACTTACACTGTTGAATTTTGCCTGGGCATCTAGAGATGAAGGATGCAGAGGGCCGTGCTGAATCGTGGAGAGGGTAAGTAGTGCAAAGAAAAACCCGGTGTTCAAACAAAAAACTTTTTTAAAGAGTTCTTCTTTAATGAGGAATCCAGCAAGGAGGAGTCCAGTAGCTATGGCGCTTTAATAGATCTCTGAACTCCTGTATATAAACTGCTCTACACCAAAATCCCCAAGAGATGCATATGAATGGGTGGGGCGTAGTATGTGTCCCTCATTTATCCAAAACTGAGCTTTCAATATTTCCGAGCTTACTGGCAGGTGTCTGTCGGGTTAACCAAACAGTCATGTTTGAGCTATTACTAATTCAGCTCATTGTGCTTTCACTAACGGTTACTTATGGTTTGGGTTGGATGAGAGGAGAACAAGACTGATGAAGAGTTTGATTGGTAAACCACACCAGCCAAAATTTGGCTTCCTTTATTTTCCTCTTTTGTCTTTTCGAAATTGAAAGTTTAAGTGACGCTGACATCACAAGTAGTAATCTCTGTGGTAAGAAAACTGCAAGCTGCAGATAAGTAAATATAGACGCTGGTTTGGAGATTTGTTTTGGTGGAGATGCCACACACAGCGCTAGTAAAGCAGCAGCACCCCTATAGTACCTCCATAGTACCTTCGTAGAAACCATCAGAAGTGTAGGGCACTTGTGGGTATGCAGTTGAGATTAGAAATGTAGAACAGTAAAAGACTGCTGTGTGCGCAACTGTCTGTTAGTCTTTAATGAGAAGCCGTCATGGTTGAACTTATGCACAAATCTAAATATTCTTTCTAAATGCTGAACTTGGCATTTATTAAACACAAATTAAAGCAGATCTGTATTTATTAATATATCCATGAATGCTTTTTATTAAATGCAAGCAGTGGAAGAACCTTAATTGGACCTGATATCAGCCTTTTGCAGTCACTGTTTAGCAGGGCATAGAGTGGGAAAGGAAGAAGCAGCATCATTCAGTCCGCTCATGTGCTGATAGTAAGAGAAAGCAGAGTGACAGGGAGATGAGCTCATTACTGTGCTGCTTCTTCTGGCACTGCCCATTCACAGGCTGGGGTGGGTCCAGGACGAAACGGGCCTAGGGAAAGTGGGTTCATGATGCTGGCTGTCATTCAACCCAGAAAACAGAGGGCACCTTCTGGCAGAAAACAAGTATTGCAGTGGATGGCTCTAAGCGGAAGGTGAGTATTGCAGCAAAAAGCTGCTTTTTTTTCATCTTTTTTTTTTTTCCCCAATTTTTTAATGATGTTTTGCTTTAAAGCTGTACTTTAGGCAGATATAAACAATAGACACAATAATGCTGCTTGTAATCCTTAATACATCCATAATTCATCTTAGCACATCCATAAATGTATATTGTAATCATACAGTACAGGACTTCAGTCTTAGACCATGGGTTATATGCAGCTACCTGCAAGTTATAGGACACTGGCAATAAAATTGTTAGGATAGCCCCATATAGCTCCTCCCACTCCCAGCAAGGCTCAGTTTATTTCTAGTGTCCTTAGGCAATGGACGTTTTCTCTGTCCTGGTAGAGGACTGTAGTGTCTACTATCAGTTTTTTTTTGTCTGGCTGACCCTTCTGATATGCCAATCGGTCACTATTGGGTAGTCTGGCATCGGCGGGTGCCTGACAGAGACGATTCCCCCATCCACGCTCTTTAACATGGATGGAGGAACCTGTTGGGTTTCTTTAATTCAGCCCACAGGTTGAACTGAACAGATCAATGCATGTATTACCAGCTTAAGAACATGTTGCCAGAAATAGAGTGTTGCTTCCTGTGAGCTGTAAACACACAAAATTCCAACCTGTGAAACAGCAATGGCTCCCTCCATAGATATAGAGGAGCTAAGCAGGTACAGGAAGCGTGTTACTGGCAGGATCACCAGGTGAAGATAAAGTTAAATGCGGCCATTAATATAGAGGACTGATTAGCTGCTATACACTAAAATGTTTGTTTAATGTTTAATTAGACTTGGTATCAGCCTCATGCAGTTTCTGTACATTAGAGCTCAGATTGGGAAAGGAAGATACAGCACAATGAGCCAGTTAGGTGTGCTGCAGTGCGAGGAGCATGCTTATAGAAGGGAAGATGAGCTCATCAGTCTGCTGCTTCTCCTTTCACCATCCAGTCACTGGGTAAGGGTGGGCAGAAGACCTGCAAGTGAAAGTGAGACTGCAGCAGAAAAAAATGGTGTCCCCTTCCAGGCAGCACTGTGTGGCAGAACTGGCTAAATCTCAGAAGTGGATGGTCAGAAATACAAACTCTTTGGGAAGTAAACCAACTCTCTTTATATGTGTATATCTGTGTATTTAGCAGGGTCATGCAGAAAGAGCATTGCTAGAAGAAAAACTGTTTCTGCATCCATTGAGGGATGGTTGTATCACACATGTACATCTGACCTATCTCTGCTATCTGTAGCCTGCTTTATGGAAGAGTGAGAGTGAGCCTTTTGATGCTATTCTCTAGTGATTATAGAGAGCAAGTGGCATGGAATCCTGTAGAAACACCCTATGCAGTGGCGCTGCTCCCTCACTGTAAGGGTTAAGTGATTGCTTTGTCTAGGGGACTCAAATAAAGCAGTTGTACTCGCCTGATCCTCTGTCCCGTGGCCCGATGGCACCTATCTCTCCCCCTCCACTTTGGCTATGCAATGTCCATTGGTGTCCTCACGTCTAATGCAAGTGAATGAACTTACGTAGGACATGATGTCGGTGGAGGTTGCGGGGACCAGTGGAGTAGTCTGAAGGGAGCTGGCAGACCAAAGATCAGGTACATAAATCTGCTTTATTTGAACCCCAGACAAAATAAGCACTTATACCTTGCAGTTTGGGAGTAGCCCCACTGTAAGGGTCATTTTTTTTTATGTTCCCAGAGTTCTTCTTTAAAAGTCCTCTCCCTCCCTATGTTTTGTCCAATGGTGGGTCACAAGAGTTATATTGCAAAACTTTTGACTTGTGAAACAGTCCCCTGGAATGGCCCATTAAACAGCCTTATGTGGCCCTCCAGTAGTTGAAGTTTCAGTCCCAGCATTCACCACCAGCCTTTGAAGTCCATGGAGTTCATGGCTTCAAAGGTCATGTGTTTAGTACACTTTGTGTAGTTGGTTCTGTTTACAAAGATCTTTTCTCCTCCTAATATCACAAGGTTACATCACCCGTGCGTTGCTGAGATAACGTCTGATTTGCGTGCTGCCAAGTAACCTCCAGAATAGGGAAGTTGATCGTTTCTGACGTGCATGGAAATTTGTTTTCTGCACGTCTGTCCTCCCAAGCCGTGAAGTTTCTCAGCAGTTGTCTGGTTTTTGTGTCCAAATCTTCATCTGGAGATGGAAGAGATGAACATGAACCGATTGTACCCAGCACGGCTGTGTGCATGTGTTCCACAGATGTTTTACTGCCATCTAATGTCCATCTAAAGCATATTTTGTTGCAACATAAAACCGAGAAATTCTCAGTCCATCTGAGAAATAATTATTTATTTATATAGCGCCGACAATTTACACAGCGCTGTACATACTTGCACATTCACATTGCAATCATTCTATTATAACTGCTAGGGATGCACCGATATTTCGGCCACTGGAACGTATCGGCCGAAAATTACACTTTTGGCAAAATCCCGAAAGTGCTATTTTTTTTTTGCCCGAAATAGCGGTGCATCCCTTATTTCTCTTCCCGCTGGTCGCTGCTCTGTGTTTCAGCGGGGAGGAGAGAAACTGTCACAGGAGGCCGGGTGGTGCGGGACGAGAGCGCTGTGAACGGTTGGCGTCGCTCCTCCCTGCACCGCTCAGCCTCCCTGTGACAGATCAGGAGAGAGGCGGTGTGGGGGCGGAGACAGCTGTCACAGGAAGTTGGGCTGCAGTGCGGGGGAGGGGTCAGCTGTCAGATCGAGATCTCCCCACACCGCTCGCTCAGCCTCCTGTGACAGCCGATCCAAGGAGAGCGGGTACAAGCAGTCAGTGGTCGCTGAGTGTTTGTACATAATGGAGGACAGTATGTTTACTGTGTCCTCAATTATGAATGAATGGGAAGTGATCTACATCACCTCCTGTTCATTCTTGATTGTGGATATGGTAAACATACTCTGTTATCATGTTATGAATGAACAGGAACACTCAGTATAGCGGATTCCTGTTCATTTATAACTGGGGCTGCAGATAAAGAGATTGAGGGCTCTGTGTTCCCAATCCCTTTTTCTATTTTAAAAGGGAAATATCAGGGGTCTGTTTAGACCCCTAATATTTCCCAGAAGCCCCTAAAAGTAAAAAAAAAAAGTAAAATATTTAATAAATATTACAAAAATTAAAAGTTTATAAAAAATAAATAAAATATTTGAAAGTTATTTTAAAAAAAAACATTTTCGGTTTCGGCCTAAAAATTTTTTTCCATTTCGGTTTCGTTTTGGTTTTGAAATTTTCATTTCAGTGCACCTCTAATAACTGCACTGCAGAGATCTGTTGCTTTAATGAAATATTGAATTACTGTTCTCGCTGTATCAGAAGGGCCTGTTCCTGATATTGAGTTTGTTCTACAGACAGCCACCAGCCAAGCGGTGTTCGGCCTGCAGTCCGGAGTGTGTCAGCTATTCCGGGAAACACTTAGCAAAAAAGGATTTGTGGAAATCCAGACTCCAAAAATCATATCAGGTATGAAAAAGGGATTTGGCCAATGGGTGTCTGGCCATACCGGCATAGGGCTGTAAGGGTTAACTGCTCGTTTGTGTCTAGGGAGGAAAATATAAAAATTATACTCGCCTGATCCTCAGAGCTGGCTTGCTCTTAGACCACTCCCCGGAGTGTCTCTGCCCCCTCCTCTGCAGCAGTCGAAGGGTCCCGCAAATCATCACGTCCTATACGCAGTTTATAGGAAGTGAGGACACCAAGGGGCATACCATCGCTGCAGCGTAAAGGGCAAAGAGGCTGGAGGGAGCTCTGTGACAGCTGGCCGGCTCCGAGGTTCGGCTGAGTGTAACTTTTTTTTTATTTTCAGCCCGACACAAACAAGTAGTTAACCCTTGCAGTGCAGGGGTAGCTCCACTGCAAGGGTTAATAATATTTTTCCCAGGAGTTCTTCTTTAAACATGTATGGCCAGCTTTAGACTGTGGGTTTGATGTGTTGTATGGTGGGTACACCATAAGGTAGCGGAAACTTGTGCAGTCATATGACCATCGAACTTTGATTTTTTACAGCCGCCAGTGAAGGAGGAGCCAACGTGTTCACCGTGTCCTACTTCAAAACCAGCGCCTATCTGGCCCAATCTCCACAGCTTTACAAGCAGATGTGTATCTGTGCTGACTTTGAGAAGGTCTTCTGCATCGGGCCAGGTAAGAGAGAGAGAGACGGCTGTATAGACTGAATCATGTTTTACTCTGGGATGTAATGGTGGAGTTATATTTTACAGTCTACCTCTAGCCAACTAGAATAGAGAATGGTTAAAACCCCAGTCAGTTTTGCATAGTTACATGGTAAGGCAGGTTGCAAAAGTCCATTTAGTTGAACCAATAGAAAAAAAATTGTAAATAAATTAAAAACCTCCATCTACTCAGATTTCAGAGGAAGGAAAAAAAAAACCTTTAAGGAGAACTATGGGGTTAAGGCTTTTCCCCATAGTTCTCCTTAGGGTAACGGGAGGACACAAACTAGCGTCCTCTTCCGCCAGTCAGCGCTGGCGGGGAGGGGGGAATACAGCCCCTTCCCTGCCACGGCAGAGAGCTGTGACAGGATCGAGAGGTGAGCGAGCGCCGGTATGTGTTCGCTCACTTCCCGATCTACTGAGCCGACCTGTGACTGTCTCATTGTCACAGGTCGGCTAGAACTATGAGGTGAGTGCTTTTCTCTTTTAAAAGTTCCATGGTCCAATTTTGCTCCAACAGAGCGAGGAATCGGATATTCCCCGGATCAATAATCTCTGGAGGTGTTACTTCTAAATGTTTGTAGCCAATTACATTCTGTGCATGCAGGAATACTTCCCACTTTTGTTTTATCCCTTTTGGGGCCAAGGCATTTTTTTCACACGTTATAATCCACGTTTTGGGCCTGAAAATTATTTAAAATCTCTCCTGAAAGCAGAGACCTTGTAGAATAAAATGGCGGCCGTTAGACATTTTTACATCACATGATATTAGCGCAACTCTTTCTCAAACCCAAAATGTAAGTAGAAATGACACGTTAAGTACATTTTAGTGCCAAAAAACACAATATAATACCCTTTTAAAGACTTAAGACTTTTCAAAACCTATTATTAGATAATAGATATAGCATGCCAAGCTTAAACATTGCGTGTGCCCTTGAAATGGCGACAAAATACGGTACCCCAAATTGTCCATAGGTGACGCTTTAAAAGCCCGTACAAGTGATCAGTTTAGAGTTAACCATGAATATTGGCCCTTCAGTTATTGCTCTCTCTGGCGCACCCGGTGGTACCTAAAGGTGCCCATACACCTTACGATTATCGGACGATTTTCGTATGCGATCGACTTTTCGTCCGATAATCGTATGTGTGCATTGCAGTGTCCGACCGACAGTACTGTACAATCGTACGACTTTTGACGGTCAAGCATGTTTGAAAACTTTGCTAGATCGTACGATTGTCGTAAGGTTGCTGGCGTTTCCGTCCGTCAAAAGTCGTACGATCTACACTGCGCTTGCGCTAACGAAAATACGGCAAATCAATTACCGCATTTCGCCCAGGTGCTTTTCGTTAATTACGGCTAAATTAATCTTGCGATCATCGGGGCAGGATGGGGCTGCCGTACGAAAATCGTACGACTATTCGATCATCGGACGAAAAGTTTTGTCCGATAATCGTAAGGTGTATGGGCACCTTAACATGTGAAGCCCAATCGCCGTTTTCATAAGTAGTCGGACCCGACGCATGTGGGGGACTTGAAACTTTTTAAAATTATTTTACCTGATTTCTTTTTAAACTTTTTTTTTTTTTTTACTTCTGCTCACAAGCCCCCTATTTGGTAGCATATTAGGTGGTGACAGATACTCTTTAAGGTGACATTTTTGATCCCTAGTGTCACCTTTCCACTGCAAAGACGCTGTTAAAGCGCAGATCTTGCCGAATGTTTAGTGGTCTCTCTCCCCTCCTACCCGCCTACACCTTTTTGATGCTGGTCCTGGGCCCTCAGGAGGAGTATCGGGGCCTGAAAAGCAAGGCGTGGGGTGTCGCACAGGGGAGAGGCGCGCGCTTTACTGGCCCCTGGAAGCAATCTGGTAGCAGCTCAGCTGCCAGAATCGCTTCCAGTTAATGCCGACCATCGGCCTTACACAGCTGAACATAGTCATAGCCCCTGGGAGTCGAGCCCCTGCCTTTTAGAGGGGCCCCCTGCCTGCGACGTATGTCTTTCGTCGCTGACATCAAAAGGGTTAAACGTGTGTGTGTGTGTGTGTAAATGGCAATAAAAGACACTCTTACAGGCTAGTACCTTCATTAGTTTTCATTGCGACGTGTGTCCACATTGGCGATTCCCCTCCACTTCCTGGCACTGAGACGTTATTTTTGCCAAGACAGGAAGTTGGGGGAAATCTCCCCTATGGAACTCAGACAGAAGAATACAAAGGTTTGTATAACCAAAACTTTTGTTTTAGATAGAAGGAAGGGTTAAAATCCCTTTTGGGTTACTTTATACTGTCTGCGTCCTGCTGGGGAAGTTCCCTGAGCTTTCTGTCTTGGAGACGCAACTGTTATTGAGAGGAAAAGTCCCCAAAATGAGGGGAATTCCCATCATCAGCAGTTGTCCACGCAACATTTGTCCCAAAATCTAATGGCAACGATTTCTTCCTACGTTCAGTTGTGACGATGGTGGTCAATAGGACAAGTAGATGAGTAATCCTTACACACTCTCCAAAACCAAAAAAACCTTTGCCGTCATATAAACTTTAAAGCAGAACTCAAGCAAAAAAACCAAGATAAACTATCCCATTAAAAGCTAAAATAAAGAAACAGGTTTTGCTGCAACAGTCAGCTTCAATCCAGAGATTTACCCTGCAGAAAATGTTTCCTGCCAGTAGATGTCCATGATCTGATGGCCAGCATCATTCAATCCACTTCCTCTGAGCCCAGGTCATCCTGGACCCAACTCATCTTGTAATTGCACAGTGAAAGGAGAAGCAACACTCTGATGAGCTCATCTCTGCCACGCTGCTCTCTCTTCTGATCAGCATGCTCCTTGGGATGCTTCTTCCTTCCCCGGTCTGAGCTCTGCCATACAGGGACTGCAAGAGGCTAATACCAAGTCAAATTCAGGTACTTCCAATGCTTGTATTTAAAAAATAGATTTAATTATGTATTAATGATTAATTACAGAGCTGCGTTCATTTGTGTCTTTTATATCTGGCTAGGGTTCATCTTTAAGGTTGCAAACTCTTGTTACTTCTGAGCTACAAATACCAGTGGGTCACCTAGTCATTGGCTACCAGGCATGCCTTCTGAACTACAATACCAGTGGGCCTCCTAGCCATTAGCTCTCAGGAGTTCGTTCTGAACTACAAATACTGGTGGTCTTCTAGCCAGTGGCTCTCAGGCCTTCATTCTGAACTACAAATACTGGTGGTCTTCTAGCCATTGGCTCTCAGGCGTTCAGTCTGAACTACAAATACTGGTGGTCTTCTAGCCATTGGCTCTCAGGCGTTCAGTCTGAACTACAAATACTGGTGGTCTTCTAGCCATTGGCTCTCAGGCGTTCCGTCTGAACTACAATACCAGCGGGCATCCTAGCCAGTGGCTCTCAGGCATCCCTTTTGAACTACAAATACCAGTGTGACACCTAGCCAGTGGCTGTCAGGCATCCCTTCTGAACCACAATACCAGTGTGACACCTAGCCAGTGGCTCTCAGGCATCCCTTCTGAAATACAATACCAGTGTGACACCTAGCCAGTGGCTGTCAGGCATCCCTTCTGAACCACAATACCAGTGTGACACCTAGCCAGTGGCTCTCAGGCATCCCTTCTGAAATACAATACCAGTGTGACACCTAGCCAGTGGCTGTCAGGCATCCCTTCTGAACCACAATACCAGTGTGACACCTAGCCAGTGGCTCTCAGGCATCCCTTCTGAAATACAATACCAGTGTGACACCTAGCCAGTGGCTCTCGGGCATCCCTTCTGAAATACAATACCAGTGGGACACCTAGCCAGTGGCTCTCAGGCATCCCTTCTGAAATACAATACCAGTGTGACACCTAGCCAGTGGCTCTCGGGCATCCCTTCTGAAATACAATACCAGTGTGACACCTAGCCAGTGGCTCTCAGGCATCCCTTCTGAACCACAATACCAGTGTGACACCTAGCCAGTGGCTCTCAGGCATCCCTTCTGAAATACAATACCAGTGTGACACCTAGCCAGTGGCTGTCAGGCATCCCTTCTGAACCACAATACCAGTGTGACACCTAACCAGTGGCTCTCAGGCATCCCTTCTGAAATACAATACCAGTGGGCCTCCTAGCCACTGGCTAGCAGACATCGCTTTTGAAGCACAATATGGGTGGGCCTTCTAGCCATTAGTTCTCATGCATTCCTTCTGTACTAAAAATGCTGGTGTTCTTCTAGCCATTGGCTCTCAGGTGTTCCGTCTGAACTACAAATAGCAGTGGTATTCTAGCTAGTGGCTGTCGGGCATCCCTTCTGAACTACAATACAGGTGTCCTTCTAGCCATTGGCTGTCCTTCTTCTAATGCATGTACAGCCAGGGCTCCTATACCGGGCAGTTTATAAAATCCAGCTTTTATTCCAGTAATCAGATTCATCTTCCAGACTTCATTAGACCCTCTTCTGGCATCACACGCTCGTGGTTAAAGCGACAATTTACGGATCATTAGTGGCATGCTCCAGGCCCGCTCCCTGACATTTCTCCAGGCTGCAGCAAGCAGAAAGCCACATGGCGTGACGTGAATAATTATCACTGCTTTTATCAAATCTAATGGCTCCATAATTATTGCCAAATGATTTTGCAGTTTGTGCCAGAAGGACAAATATAATTGGCATTAAGAATATTAGCTCGTCGGTGTTGTGTATTAACTTCAGGGTAAGAAAATCTGCATATCAATAGAACAAACATGATGTGCTTTCTTAACCCCCAACTGTAAGTTACAAGGATATGAAATTACACGGCGAGGGCCGCAGTACACGTGCATTCATATAAGTCTCCCAACTAGATAAGTTATAAGTATCGACAAACTTTTTTTTATTGGTCACTGGAGGAATAAGTGATATAAATAATGATGTCTGTATTTCATGCTCAGACGGACAGTTCCTGTGCTAACATGGCCTCAGTATGGGAATAAAATAGGCCGCTGGGGTGCAGCCAAGAGAAATGTACCATTATAAGGAGTCCAGAGGAGGCCGGTACTCCATTTTTAAATCCTGGAGTTGGGCTATTCTCAAGGAGGATTGCTTCCCCTTCTCCCTCGCGGCCGTATAGTTGTTGTTATTATTATACTGGATTAAAATAGCGGCAACAGTTTGCGCAGCGCTTTACAATATAAGGAAAACATTACAATACAATTCAAGACAAGATGGTAAGGAGGGCCCTGCCCCTGAGAGCTCACAATCTAAAAGGAGGGGCAAGTGATACATGAGGAGGTAGCTGTGTGGGGATGAATTGTTTGATAAAGTGATGGTTCAGCGGTTAGGTTGAGGTGGGATAGGCTTCCCTGAAGAGATGAGTCTTAAGGGAACGCCTAAAGGCAGTCAGAGTAGGAGATAGACAGAGAGGTTGGGGCAAAGAGTTCCAGAGGATGGGAGAGACTCTAGTGAAGTCCTGGAGGCGAGCATGGGAGGAGTTGACGAGGGAGCTGGAAAGCAGGAGGTCTTTGGAAGAGCGGAGGGGACGGTTAGGGTGATACTTTGAGACAAAGTTGGAGAAATAGCCGGGGGCAGAGTTGTTGATGGCTTTGTAAGTCGTTAATTTTTAGAATGTTATCCTTTGGGCTATTGGAAGCCAGTGGAGGGATTGGCAGAGGGAGGTGGGGGATGGAAGCCAGTGCAGGGATCGGCAGAGGGGGGTTGCAGACCCTGAACGGTTGGTTAGGTGAATGAGTCTAGCAGCAGCATTCATGATAGACTGAAGGGGGAGGAGCCTGTGTAGCGGTAAGCCAATGAGGAGCGAGTATTTATACAATGGGTGACGTGACAAGCTGGGTCCTTTTCCGTCTTCTCTGCATCCTGGATGAAGCAAAGGATAGCTCCGATATGATGACACCAGCACCTCTCTCTAGAGGGCAGGGTGCTGTGCTCCAGGAGGCGGGGCCTTAACTTCCTGCACCCAATCATTTCTTAAGTAGGCTACCGTAACACGGTGCAAATTTTGTCCGGTTCTTGATGAACTGGACAAAATTTGCACAGTGTGTGCTCCTGTTGGCACCCTTCTGACTGGCATCCCTCGATCGAAGGAGCAGGTTGGAAAATTCTCAGCTGATCGGAGCTTGCAGCTCCGTCTGAAATTGGACGCCAGCCACTGTCAGATTGCAATGCAAAATGGGGGGGGGGG